AAAAAATCTTTTGAAATTATTTTCCGTTAAATAAAAAACCACAATTCAATACATGAGATATTGAGATAACTTTATGTAGTCTGTCCGTCGCCATTGTTAGGGAACCGAGAAGTGATTTCCTTGATAAACATGGATAAAGACAGGACACGCTTACTATGTACACAAAACAAAAGCGAGTGCCACTACAATACAGAATCATCAAGCCTTTCCTTTGGATCTGTTCCAGTTCCACAAGCGCTATAATAACATACACTAAACCGTACGAACAACTATAGGTGTTCATCCCCTTACCAAACCACAAGGAGTCACGACCAGTGCTCGGCACGCGCCACTTCGAGGTTTTGTCTCAATATGGTTGTGTAATATAATCCCAAAAACACCTGCCCTTACCGTATTGAGGCCCAGACGACAGGTGCCCGATTCCCTGGTGCAGTCGTGATAACGGTGTATATATGTCGCCGACACTGCCCTCCTAACATCACACGCGGAAAGTGGGCACGGCGTGCAATTTAAATGCAATGTCACGAACTCATGTGCGTGAAAGAAGTAGATTACGTTTATAGACATCTGGTGCCTTTCTGGCTCAAGACATTTATACAGTACTGTCCGTGAGCTTCAGACTATAAATACTATTTTTCTGAAAAAAGTAAATAAAGACAAACACATATTTTCTTACTATTATATTTGAGAAAGTTAAAAAAAAGATTGAGTGTAATTCACTTTAAGTTGAAATATGGGTCTTTTCAAACCGTATTTCATTATATGTGGGGAGAAAAGAAGCACCGCCATGGAGTACTTTGGATTTATTTCGAAAGACTTTTAACATGTTGGATAAGGCTGGATGTTGAATAATCACGTAAAAAGAAATTTAAGTACGTAAATACCACACGGTTAAAGTATACAACAAATACATAAACAGTACGGTCTGCGGAAACTAGCCAGAAAATGCCGATACGTCAACACATTCTTATTTCAAACTTAACTTCGATTAAACTAGTGCAAAATATGAACGAATGGGGAAGAGCTTCATAAAAATTTAAAAAAGTACAGGGAGAATAAGATAGGAGTCTGGTGTTCTGGAAGGGTTGACAATCGCATTGTAAATCTTGGCTAATCCAAGTTAGAGGCAGGCATATTCCCGTATGAGAACAAGGTTTACAACAACGGAACTACTAGAAAACATATCAAGCACCAAACACGTTCAACTTCACACCGCACAGTTGCAGGGATATCTATCATTTGGCTCTATCTATTTCCAAACTTGTATTGGATGGTGTTTTCGTGTGTCATGTGTGCAATCTGTGAAAAAGCATGTAGTGGGCACTGTTTGTGGACTTGCAATCTGTGAAAAAGCATGTAGTGGGCACTGTTTGTGGACTTGCAACCTGTACAAAAAGCATGTAGTGGGCACTGTTTGTGGACTTGCAATCTGTGAAAAAGCATGTAGTAGGCACTGTTTGTGGACTTGCAATCTGGTTAAAAAACATGTCTTGATCTTCGCTCCCATCTCGTAACCTTCTTTCAACTTAATGTAGCCTGCGTGCCGTGTTTTAAATCATTCAAATAGTGGCGAGTTTCAAAATATTATGAAATACCAGATTTTTGAAAACCGAGAATTTTATTGAATGATTTGGTTAATACACCTCTCCATTTAGATTTTGTCAAAATTCCTTACGATCAATTTTCATTTTTATCAGTCACCTCATAGGTTTCAAATTTAGGCCCTTGGCTTCCTTGCAGGACGAAACCGCTTCAAACTCCAATAAAATTCGTGATATATGAAATATACTTGTATGTGTTTTGTACAAACATCACTAGGAAGATTTCTTTAGGTTACGCCCGATACGTTACTATGGCGACTGTTATGTAACAACATCTTCACAATATACCTTCTGATTTGATAGAACATATGTGGCTACGGAGATCTATTAAGTGCTAATTATGTCGGAAAATGAAGGCCATATTTCAATTTCAATAAAATTTTCAATATATTAGACAATCTTAAAATTAAAAGTTTGTCATTCTTATATATTTTTTCTCTTAAAGGCCTTCCGTCAGTGAATGATAAAAGCGTTTTTCTATGAATCAGGTTTGTGAGAGAAGAAGGGTTTCTTTCCGTCACCAAATGAAGCTGTGTCAGGACAAGGGTTGGGGGTGGGGTTCTTTCCGTCACCAAACAGTAAAATAGACTTCCTGTAAGTCAAGACAAGAGTAGAAGGGTTTCTTTCTTTCCTTAAATGGTAGAATGGAACTTGCCATGTACCAGGGCATGTGTAGAAGAAAGGATTCATTCCGTCGAAAAAAAATATTAAAATGAAGTTCACTGCCTGTCACTATGAGTTAGAGGATTTTTTTATTGTCACAAAAGGGTAGAATGAAGTTTACTTTGTGTCAGGTCTGGGGTAGAAGGCCGGAATGGTATAATGAAGCTCACTGCGTGTTAGGTTGGGGGGGAATGGTATAATGAAGCTCACTGTGTGTTAGGTTGGGGGAAGGAATGGTAGAATGAAGCTCACTGCGTGTTAGGTTGAGGGGAGGGAATGGTATAATGAAGTTCACTGTTTTAGGATGGGGGGAATGGTATAATGAAGCTCACTGTGTTAGGATGGGGGGAATGGTATAATGAAGCTCACAGTGTGTTAGGTTGCGGGGGAATGGTATAATGAAGCTCACTGTGTGTTAGGTTGGGGAAGGGAATGGTATAATGAAGCTCACTGTGTGTTAGGTTGGGGAAGGGAATGGTATAATGAAGCTCACTGTGTGTTAGGTTGGGGAAGGGAATGGTATAATGAAGCTCACTGCGAGTTAGGTTGGGGGGAGGGAATGGTATTATGAAGCTCACTGCGTGTTAGGTTAGGGGGGATGGTATAATGAAGCTCACTGTGTGTTAGGTTGGGGGGAGGGAATGGTATTTTGAAGCTCACTGCGTGTTAGGTTAGGGGGGGGATGGTATAATGAAGCTCACTGTGTGTGGATGGGGGGAATGGTAAAATGAAGCTCACTGCGAGTTAGGTTGGGGGGAGGGAATGGTATTATGAAGCTCACTGCGTGTTAGGTTAGGGGGGGGATGGTATAATGAAGCTCACTGTGTGTTAGGTTGGGGGGAGGGACTGGTATTTTGAAGCTCACTGCGTGTTAGGTTAGGGGGGGATGGTATAATGAAGCTCACTGTGTGTTAGGTTGGGGTAGAAGAGGGTTGTATTTGTCACTGAATTGTAGAATAAAACAATGAAGTATGTGTCAGGTCTGGGGTAAAAGAGGATTTTTTGGTCACCAATTAATAGAATGAGGCTTACAATGTGCTAGGACAAGTGTAGAAGAAGGGTTCACTAGGGGTCAGGACAAGGGTTTCTTTCCATCATCAAGTGATAGAACAAAACTTTCTTTGTATAATTTTCTTCTTCTGCTAGCAAGTAGATAGAGGAAAACTTCAGGAAAGTGTCAAACGAGGCTTGTTTTATGCCACCAAAAGTTAAAATAAAGCTTTCTATGTGTAAGGAAAAGGAGAGAGCATGTTGTCAATGTCATTGAAAGACAGATTGTTGGTTTTTTTGTTTCAACAACACAGGTTTTTGTGTTTGACAACAAAAGGCAGTGTATGTGTCTTGTGTACAAATGTAACAATTGTACTGTTAATGAATGAAATGACTTACCCTAATAGAAAGGACTTTTTGTTCTAGCATTCCCTTCCCCTCTCCCCAAACCTAACCTCCACAACCCCCGCCCCCACCCTCCACCTGTCATCAGAATGAAGAATGAAATGTGTCTGCTATCAGGAACAGATAGATAGATGCCTTTGTCAACAGAAAATGTGCGATAATCATATGAAAAGTTAAATTTGGGGACATGCAAAAATAACATTTAACTGCTAAAACGGTCATATGTTGGTTAGTGGGTTAAAGGAAACAACGATATGTCCTCTGGCTTTTCAATTATCAGTTCAGTAGTATTTGAAGTATTATCAAAGTGTTGAAAAAGCGATATTTGGTGAAATCAGCGAACATATTTTCTAAAAGTGCATATCTGCATTTTTTTTTCTTCGTTTTGCACTTTTGTAGCACGATAAAAATTGTTATTTTATCAAAAATATTATGCTTTGATGATTTGAAGACATGTTGCACCACCGGAACATCCGGCAGCTTCAAACACAGTCAGGACTTTTTTGGTTCATTGGAGCATAAACCAATTAGATGGATTTCAAAAATGTAAATGAAACCATCAAGATAATTAAAAGCCCTCCACATTTATTGTTAATGTAGCACATATTGCTTCCAAGCCTTTAAAAAAACAAGCGCATTCACAATTATTTAAAACGAAGAGGTACCATATTTTCACCACAAACAGATAACAAAGGACGAGAGACATCAGGAAGATACTAATTATGTCATAAATCAATTTCTTAAACATTAAAACAATTTTTTTATTCTCTTTTTCCAAAATTCAGATCGTGCACTCCTTTTATAACACAAACGAAAACATTGTTATTAGGGCATGCATCACAAATTACATTTTACCTGATCATACCAAACAAAAGGCCCAATGGGGCTTACATTACTCACGTGGAGTGGCAGTTCGTGTATAACTGTTTAGAAAAATTATCACAACTACTGACAAATAGGAAGTTCAATGTCAAGACTGTTTAGATAATGTAGTTTGAATTATTAACCATACTGACCTCTGTCATAATGCCACATTTGATCCAAAGAACCTACTAGCCAAATATCTGGACTCTTGGCCTCTTAGGTTTTAAGAAGAATTTGTCCAATAAAAAGTTGATGAATGACATCGGAATTAAAAGACTAGGATACTTTTCAATATTGTAAACACAAAGTAAAGGAATCAAAATTGCAAAATATTTTTTTAATGATATTGTATGTATCAATAAAATTCATTTCAACATATTAACAGTTATTTTCAGACTCAAAAGCATTAGACCATTTAACAATGATACCGATGTTCACAATATGAACACCTTGGTCCATAGATTTTAACATCCCTGAATAACAATAAACATAGAATATTGATTTAATCTTGTGATATAAGAAGTTTCCAATAGTTAAAAATTCATATGATTAAAAAGTATTATATATTCTGTATACCTTTTCGCTGGTTAATCAAATATTGGTAGTGATCTTAATCTAAAAAAAATTATTTTCCTGTCTTTTTCCAAATAAACTTTAGAAGCATTGATCATGTAATCTATTGCCATTTTGTGGTGATGACTTTCAAATCATAACCAGAGATCAGCAAATGTATTACCCTCCACCAAGCCTGCTGGGTTATTGCCCAACGAACAGCAAGGGTCATTAGGCAAAGACTCCTTGTTGTAACTGGTGACTTCCTCAGTGAACAACATAGAGAAGGCCCATCACAGAGTTATTGGGATAAAGTGTCTTGTCCAAGGTCACAACCAAGACAGCTCTTCATTTCTCTGCTTATCACTGAAGCACCAACCTCTTTTGATTTTTCTCAGTTCCTCCAACCTGATCCTCAACTAACCCATTTAATTAAGAACTATGATTTTTCTATATACTTGGAATGCTTAAGTTTAATGTCCTTATCTTCTTATTCCATCAGGTTTCCCCTACTCACCTATCCCAACCAATATTTCACTCTGACTCCTAGTTTTGCTTTAGCTGATGAAGTGAAAATTCTCATTTTCCTTACATCTTACTTTCGAGTTCCCTTCATCTAAATTAAGAACTTTGATGCCATGCGGAGCCTTTTCTGATGAAACTGAGATTTTTTTTATTCCTATTCCTCAGGATTCTCCCCACTCCCCTAACCCCTATTCCATCCCAGCTTTATAATGATACTTGGCCCTTTTTTCAGCTGGGACTGAGGAAGTTAAGATTCTCCTTGTCTTCTTGTCCCTCCGAGTCCCCTTCCTCAACCTGCATCACACTATTCCCTTCTGGGATACCACTCATGTCACTGATGTCACCCTCCCCAACTTGAGCCCCACTTATGTCAGCTTCCGTCAAATCACCAGTCTCATCAGCCTCATCTTCATCTTCCTCTTCCTCCTCAGCATCCATCAGAAATATTCGAACTCGTCTCTTTGAGGAAAACAGCTGCATGGATAAAAAAGAAGCCAAGATTTAAAGAGTAAAACACTTCACATCTATCTCCATTACAATACTTAAAATATATACATCATGCACATCAATTTCTTTCAATCACTCTCATTCAAAACTAAGTGGTTCTGTTTAAAAATTAATTGGATATTTTATCTAAAATCTAGAAAACAAATCAAATAGACTCCTCTGATTTCTGTAACAACTGGAATGATATATGTATATTATAATTAGATATTGAAAAAATTTGGTGAAAATGTTGCAAAGAATTTAGAATCAGAGTTAAAATAATGGGAATGCATTATTTGACCACTGGAAACAAATTTTTGAACTAGTAAATGATTTGGTTTAAGACACAGATGTCCTGCTAAACACACTAGAATCTGGTCAGGTGTGGATGACATGATGTTATGATGATATTGGGTAAATGTGAACTAAATCTGTTGATATGACACTGATTTAGAACAGGACATGACACGAAAGAACGAGATGAAATGGGACAGACACATGAGTAACACTATATGAAATGAGAGGGTATGAAAACTTGCTTTAATTGTTTACCATTAAAACAATATACATCAGAGAATTACTCACAACAATAGCTGTTTTACGAGTACCGCTAACAGAAAAGGAGTGAGCCTTCATGTTATCAAGTCGCTGACAGTTCTCTAGCTTCTCACCAATATCAATCACATTCCTGAAACACATCCGCAAAACTGAAACATGTCAAATGCATCAAAAACATAGGCTTTCAGGAGAAAGACGTTTACATAAAACATCAATTAAACCTATACATAAATTACCTAGCTACAAAAATGGGTAACACCATACTGGGAAGTATTCTTATAAAGTGATGTCTTCTTGGAGGCAGCATTTCTGATAATATATTTCTTTTATACTATGGAAATAGGTCAAGCCATAATACTTATTTATTCAGTAATTATCAAACCTTAATCAAATTGAAACTTTATACAGTAATTATTAAATTAATTTTAACTTTATGTAACAATTATTAAATTTCAACCAAAATTCATAACTAAAGCAGCATATTCTCAAATTACACTGAATAAATTATCATTTTCTGAATGCAAATATTTATTCAGGAAACATTTTTGGAAATATGAAATCACCTATGTAAATGAATATGCATGAATTATATTATAACTACATTTTTTCTCTACCAGATTGTACTCATACAAGACAACTTCAAAATGACATTTTTTATTAAAATCACATATCCCAATATGACCATTCTCATTTTTTGAGTATTTAAAAAGAATCACATATACATTTAACTACAGATCTGTGTAAGTTTACTTTCCCACCATATGGTAAACATCCAAACAAATCTGACATTCAATACTTTCGATATCCAGATATTGAAATGATATTTATGAGTCAATGACACCCGAATCCTGTGACCTTTGACCTTGGTTATTGATAAACATCTTATGTCAAGGGCTATTAGATATGACCCCTTTAACACTAAGCCTGTTGTAGCACTGGCCTGGGAAAATAGATTTAATAATCCAAAGATAAAAGAATTATTGTTCAAAATGGATTAAAACACTTTTGGAATATATATTGTGGATATCAGCTATAAAGCCGTAATAAAACAAATATTATTGGTTTCAACGTAATATTTTCCACACCAGGCCCCAGTTCCATGAATCTTCCTTTACCTATAGAATTTGCCTTAAATTAAAAATGCCTATGGGCATAATTTAAGAAAATTTCCTTAAATTTACGATTTTCCTTAACTCACAATAATGCTTTTTTGATGGGAGTTAAGATTTCCCTAAGTCAAGAAGGATTCATGAAACTGGGGCCAGAATTAAAATTTGGTTGATGATTTATCGTTCATTAAACCCAAGGAGTGGAGCCAACACTGTTGCTTTCATGTTGGTTAAGAGTGTTCCACATGAAGTCTTTAAACTGGTTGACAACATGAAATAGATAGAACCAATTTACTCTGATCTTGTTGCAGTTGATATCCTACTTAGTTAGATCATTCATTAAAGATACACAGCTTATTTCTTAGTAAAATTGCTTCAAACATTGAACTTAATATTTATCACAATTGTATCTTCTATTTTACTAGATTTTATTAATTAAAATGAGGCAAACTAAATCTAAAAATCATATTTGCTGACTGTAATTTTTTCCTGCTACAAATCATATGTTATCACAATATGTTGCCATAAATTTTTTGTAATGTCAACATATTCACACAAAATTCTCTTTTAATTACAATCAAAATTGAAAAGCTAACATTCTACAAAACCATCAATCAATGAGACCATTATTACCGTCATGGCAACAGATTATTGATCCGAATTATCTCCCTTAGGATGATTCTCCTTTGTAACATATTTCAGTTCTCATAGATCACGAATGAATTTGTGACTTACAGGCTCACACCCTGGATACTGCCATCTGGTGGTACACTTGTGTACATGGAATCTGCAATTACTGCCAGAGGGAGCTGTACCAATACTGGTGTCTCATCATCACCCTCCTCAACTAATAGCAAAGAAAGTGTTCTCTCGTCATAGAAGCCAACATCTTGGAGGCGGTGCTTGCAAAATCTGTAACATAGAAAAGTTAACTTTATAAATTTGTTGAGCAATAAGCCAAAGCCTGGTATTAAGCCCACCATAATTAAAATTGCATTCAGTAGAACTACAAACAAATGCTATTTCATTGCTCTGCAATAAGCCCACCCTCTGAATGGGAGTCAGGATTTGTATTTTGGCCTGACAGATTTTGCTCTTAATATGTTGATGAATATGCAATATTTGTCATTTTTTTAAAGTTTACATTAACAAACCTAAATCTGCTACTAATTATCTGGTATATCATTATTCAGGATTATGAAATTTTTGCCGTCTTTCAAGTTAATAGTTTCTGCAATGAATACTTTTAAATAGCAAATTGCGGAACAATCTCAGTTTGGATTCAGTAATCACTATATCCTGTTAATAAATGTCCTATGATGTTTAGTCAATCTTGCTCATAATTTTGTTACAATATATCAAAATCTCTTTCAATAACAATCAAAACTAAAAAGCATATATCTTATTAAAACCATTAATCAATAAGAACATTACTCCTCTCATGATAACTGAAAGTGCATTATCTCCCTTTGGATGACTCTCCTATGATAACAACTAATTAGCTATTAAAATTATCTACTCACTTGAATCAAAGCAACCTAATTTGGAATGCAATGAATAAGTGAACACACAAAAACATTCAAATTATTAGTTTTTTAATTTTTTTATTTTGAAGATTTTATTTCCAATATCATTTTCTTTGTACATATCCAGCTCTATTTATTTTGCATTAAGCCAGGGGGCCAACATAAAAATTCTGACCCAAAATCAGGGAGGAGAAAAAAATAATCCATTTGTTTGTAATTATATATCAGTAGACATGAGTTGCAATGGCTTCCTCACTTCTAGTTCGGGTGTTCAAGGCTTAAAGCACAGAGGGGAGTTGCCAGGTATTGGCCACAGTTTGGCATTTTTTCTCCAGGAATTATGCCTTTCTTCCACCACCCAAACCTGGCATTTTCTTAAGTAACCTGGGTTATCAATAGAATATACAGCAACAATAAACTGAACTGGCTTATTTCTGTGTCTTGTTAACCCCTCAATCTTGAGTTATGACCACCCAAACCAAATCCGTTGTTGACTCTGGTGTTATAATGGTATGTTGTGAATATAAACCAAATCTGTTCACAAATTTATGAGATATCTTGTGCAGAGGCTTGTCACATCACCTGTATGCTTCCACTCACTTGGGCACCACTGCACAGACCAAATGATAACTTTATTCCCAATCTTATCTTCATCACCTAACTATGTAATTCTACCAAACCACAAAAAATGAGGGAGGGCTTCATTACCAGACATGGACTTATCACTGGATAAATACAACTCCTCCAAACAGCCCCTGGTGTTGTAGTCTAGTTAACATCAACAAATATGGGTGGGCTTATTACCAGACATGGGCTTATCATTGGATAAATACAACTCTTCCAAACAGACCCTGTAGTCTTAGTCTTGTTAATCATAAGTACCATATTTGCATACTAATGTTATGGTAAGTATTACCTCATGAAAATTGGTTTTACATGAAAAAACCTCAATTTAAGTCTAAAACATTCCTGCACATTTTTTAATGTATGTACATGGCCATAACTTTGGCACACTTACAGCCTTAACAAAGGTCAATACACTTACAATACTTATCGTTATCTATCTAAGTAGGTAAAATTGAATTCATAAACACAGGTAGAGCGTAAAAAGGATAATTTGATAATTAAATTAATGGTCAAAAATATTATACCTGATACTACCAAAAAATAGTTGTCTGATCATTAACTACTTTACCTTCATAAAATACTTGATACTTTTGTCATGTTTTCTTTTAATCTTCAAAATTACAACCTTCAGATGATTAATGATTTTGATACAATTTTAATGATTTTTTTAAATAAATATATTTTTCAGTCATTTTTTTAAACTTTAGTATAAGGCTTGTAATTACAGAAACATGATGCCACATCATACGTCATCCATACTTTTTGAATTGCTTAATGGTAAACAAACATGCGAAAACATTCCGATGATTTCTACTGAATAATACTCAACTACGAAAGCACAAATTTCTATACAAAGTTTACATGCAGCCCAAACCAAATACTGCTATCCTTCTTAATTCATTTCTACATTCATGACTAGTAATTTATTTTCAAATCAATGGAAAAAAATATCTTGTACCGAATTAAACTGCAAAAAAAGTGTTTTATGGATGTTTCTATGACATTAAACTGGATTTTAAATTATTTTATAAAACAGAACGACTTATTCTAAAGGGACAGCTAATAATTTTTTACAATTGTGAACGGAAATAGGTCCATGACCATGTCGTTTTAAAGCTTCTGTCCCATGGACAGATTTAATTAACATTATTCAAACTTCAGTAGGTCAAGGATTGATGAATCAAATTTAAAAACGTATTTTAACTTCATAACTAGAAAACATGTCTAAGATATGAATGCCTTCACTTGTATGTGAACCTGAATCTGATCAGGCATAAAATATGATGTTATGTTACTATGAGTAAATATAAACCAAATCTGTTGGGAGGTTCTAAAGATATGACAATGACATGTAACAGGATGAGATGGAACAAGACAGGATGGGGCATAATGGATGAATATTTATTTTACAGTAACAATATATGCCTGCACAAAATAAATCAAAATGACAATGACAATTAAACCTCAGATATGTACAGGTTTATTCAACATGTGGAAATGAGACAAATTTGCAGGTTGTTAATGATATTCTTATATACAAATGTAGCTAATTTTTTCCTGTTAATTTGAAATAAACTTTATGTATTTTCCAATCAAATGTGAAACAAGTTATTGCAACTTTGACTAATTACTTCTGTTGGCCTGGATGTAAGCACACAAGAGGTCTTACTGTGGGAGGAAAATGGAGTACCCAGAGAAAACCCATGTGGTTGGGCAGGTGACCCTCTACCTTTTTACGTCCATTCCAAGAATCGGACCCTGGACAGCTAGGTGTAAGGTGAGTGCATTTCTGTTGCAACACCTGACCACCCCTTTTAAACCAATAATATCATGCTGCTCTTCACACTATACCTAACCTTTGTCTTTGAGTGGTAGAAGTGGTGTTGATATATGCTTAGATACATGTATTATGCATCAGTTTGATTTATTGCTGTTTAACGTCCTTCTAACAGCCAGGGTCATTTAAGGACATGCCAGGTTTGGGTGGTGAAGAAAGCCAGAGTTCCTGAAGAAAAAACCATCGACCTGCAGCCAGTACCTGGTGACTACCCCATGATTCCGCAACCCAGAGGTAAAGGGCAAGTGATACAGATTGTAAGACGTCTTGAACACTTGGCCACCGTAGTCTCTAGTTATTTTAGAACTCTTAAGAGATGAGAAACATGTTTCAGTAAAAATAACATAAAACCTTAAGTCTATGTATATACTTGTTACAGTAAGGTAGCATACATCCTGAAAATTTCTTGTCCCATTAAGGAAGAATACAGCCATTATATATAAGGCTAAATGTCACAGAAAGGCAGCATACATCCTTAAGTTTCCATGTCACAGTAAGATTGTATACATCTGATGACGGCCACATAGCGGTCGAAACATGTCGGCAATTTCACTAAAGTCTTCGTGTTGTTGAGTTTCCTTTTTTATTTTGATTATCATTAATCTCTGTATCAAAGCAAGGTAGTATGCATCCTTAAGTGTCAATGTAACAGGGTTTGCATACATTATTCAGACTCTATTTCACAGAAAGGTAGCATACACCCTTAAGTCTCTTTGTCACAGGTAAGTAGCACATAGCATACACCCTTAAGTCTCTTTGTCACAGGTAGGTAACATATATATCCTTAAGTCTCCATGTCACAGCAGCATACATTCTTATTTGAACGGCAAATTTGATTACATTACATTAGTAATATGATTTGAAGTAGGAAAATCAAATACAGATCTAAGTATTGATTTAAAAGGAGGCAATAGATATATGCAACATCGATTCTCTGTGAAAAGTATTAAAAAAAACTCAAAGAAAATTTTTGAAACGTAAATGTAAAACAGAGTTTAAGATAGATCTTATCAAAATGGAAGTGAAAATTGAAATTGCAGTTTTTTTTCATTTTTCTATAAGTGATCAATTTTCTGCATCAAAGTTTTTTGACTTGTTCAAATTGACCCAAGGTTCTGCAACACTAAACTTGTACTAATGTGAAATGGAGCATACAAATTTTCACACTTTCAGAAGAAAAACACATATCCTAAACATTTCAGTACTTTCTGATAGCTATGGGCATCAATCTTATCAGAGTAACTTTTTTTTTATAAACACATTGATAAACACATGAACCATGTCTGTGGTTTATGATAAGGCTAGATGTCTTCATGGACATATGAACCTCCATGTAAAAAAAACAGTACAAAAATCCTTCATGATGTCCATTACAAAATACTAGGCACACCTTTTTACGAGATGGCCCATTACCCTATGATTCATGGCCATGCTGCATTTTTTTCTTCCAAGGAACAAACAAAAAATTTGATGTGAACAATTTAGAATTGAGTATTATACTATAAAAGAGAAATTATCATCTTGGTATGGTGACCAAAAATAATTGTTTATCAAATTGACCAAATAATGTATTTATCAGAGATTTATGGGCTTTCAATGAGTTGTTTATTTGTTGGGAAGACATTAGGTTAACCTTTTAGACTCTCAATTAGACCTACATAGTAGACATATATCCTGGAGCATTCAAACATTTTGCAGACCCTGATCGTACACAATATACCAGAGTCAAAATATTTACCTGTCCATACTTTTAGTGTCACAAGTCAATTTTCACACCTATTTCTTAATTTGGATATATTTTTCCGAAATGTTCTTGTAGTATAAACAGATATCTAAACTCTAAGTCAAAATCATTCCCTTCATGATTGAGAAAATTTTTTGTACAAAAGGAAAGAGTATTTTTTAACATAAATCTAGAGTAA